AGCATCTCTGCTCCTATGATGCTGCTTGGCCTGCACCTTGTTGTCTGCAGGCAAGTGGGACTAGTTTAGTTTGGGATTATATACGCTGTGGGCTGGTTGGACCAAAGGGTCTGTTTCCATGCTGTATGACTCTGTGACTCTTTCCTCAGTCAAGATTGGCCGTCCTGTTCTCCTAAACCCAAGACCCCATGTTCTAGACGCTCCTCCTAGAGGGGAACAACCTCCCAGCTTGTACTGTCTCAAGCTCTGTACTAATCTTGTGTCTTCTAACACGATCACCTCTCATTCTCCTAAATAGCAGGAAGGGTAAACCCAGGTTACTCTGTCTCTCATCAACTCCTTAGCAAAGGAAATCAATCCCCTTTCAGATTAGTGCATCCTTCCTCAGGCAAGGAGACTGGGATAAAATAAGACAAAAGAACTGCAGATGCTGGAGATCTGAAACAAAAACAGAAATAGCTGGAGAAACTCAGCAGGTCTGGCAGCATCTGAGGAGAGAAAGCAGAGTTAACGTTTTGAGTCCAGTAACCCTTCTTCAGAACTGCTTAAAGCTAGGAAAAGGTTGTACATATGCTGAAGACAGGGGGATGGGGCGTGGGTGAGTCTTAAGAGAGAGAATTATTATTAGGCAGACAAAATGATGGATGACAATGAGGGAGAATGATAAGCGGCTAATGGGGACCATAAGTACATGAAAATGTCAACTGTGCTGAAAGCAAGTCGCGTGATGATGTGGGAGTGGGTAAAGGACATTGAAGAGGGTGTTCAGGCCCTAAAATTATTGGACACGATATTCAAACCTTTATATCTTCTGCCCGATAGAAAATGCTGTAAGAGAGTATAACTGAGGTGGGAGGGGTCTTTGATGATATTGGTTGCTTTCCTGAGGCAGCGGGAAGTATAGATGGAGTCAATGGATGGAAGGCTGGTTTGTTTGATGGACTGGGCCATGTTCACAACTCTTTGTATTTTCTTGCAGTCTTGGGAAGAGCAGTTGCCATACCACATTGTGTTGTATCCAGATAGGATACTTTCTATAAAAATTGATAATTGACACCCAGCGAGTGCCCAGAGCTCTTGCGTCCCCTGCGAGTCTAACATTTCTCTCTCCTGATTTCCTTTGCCAGACTCTGTTGCAAATGCTGAAGCGCAGTGGGATCACCCAGAAAATCCTTGCGGCTGCGTTATTTACCTTGAAGAGGAATGCGCTCTTCCAGAGCCGGACTGTGGAGGAGTGGCTTTGGGGTTATGAGCATCCTCTGCTGAAGTTCGGTCATAAAGTGTTACCGAGTGTTTTCCCAGGCAGCCAGTTTGGACTTTTCTACGGAGTGAGTAGTCAATGCTTTTTGAACAACTTCAGACGTAGCCTGGCGAATTTAAATAGAACGTTGCTGCCAAGCATTCCCAGAATTCATGAATGTTAACTCCTGTGGCACTCCTCCTGTGGGTTGTGGATTGTGGAGAGGGGAGCGATGATGCCTGATGTATAGCCATGCAGCAATCCTGCTGACCAGGGCTCATCAGTCATCATTCCACTCCCCATTTCATAAATCGCGTTGGTTCAGAATGGTCAAAATCCTGAACCTCTGAGGCAGAGTGATGTTCCTGAAATGTCATCTGTTTTGTTGGTAAGTGACCAGGTATTGACTGGATATTAACAAAGTTGCTGGAAAAGCTCAGCAGTTCTGGCAGCATCTGCGGAGAGAAATCAGAGTCAACATTTCAGGTCCAGTGACTTTTCCTCATAACTGATGGTAGCGAGGAAAATGTCAGTTTTTTTAAGCAGAAATAGGGTGGGGTTGGGGGTGGGGTGAAGAGTAAGTGAGAGGTGGGGATCGAGCCCAAAGAGAGAGAAGAGCAGTTGGATAGACAAAAGAGTGGATAATGATCTGGCTAGGAGGGTGAATAGCTACAAATGAGGACTGTTAGTGTCTAACAATATCCAGTTAATAAAAACCAAAACAACTGCGGATGCTGTAAATCAGGAACGAAAACAAAGTTGCTGGAAAAGCTCAGCAGGTCTCGCAGCATCTGTGGAGGGAAAAACAAAGTTAACGTTTTGGGTCCAGTGACCAGAAGATAGAGTGGGGTTGGGGGAGGGGTAAGGAGTAAACGATAGGTGGGGATAGAGCCTTCGGGTCACCGGACCCAAAATGTTAACTTTGTTTTTTCCTTCACAGATGATGCCAGACCTGCTGAGCTTTTCCAGCAACTTTGTTTTTTTTCTGAATTACAGCGGTTCTTTCGGTTTTTACTAACTGGATATTATTTGGTTGTCATTTTTAGCAGTTTTGGATTGGAATTTTTCTCGGCATACTTAGGAATGCTACCTTGTGGCCCAGTGATAGTGTCCCTACCCTTGAACGGCGTAGTCAAAGTTCATGTCCCACCTGCTCCAGGGGTTTGCAGTAACATCTCTGAACAGGTTGTTTAGGATAAACAGGTTAAATAATGTCCCATGGAGAGCTACCAATCAAATCAGTTTGATCATTCTGTTTCACAAGAAACTGACGAACAGAAGTTTTGTTTTATTCACTCATGAGACATGGTTGTCACTGGCTGGGCCATCATTTGTTGCCTGTCCCTATTCCCCTCGAGAAGGTGATGGTGACCTACCTTCTTGAACCATTGTGCTATAGCTAGACCAATCACAGTAACAGCAGGCCATTCGGCCCCTTGAGCCTGCTCCATGTGCCTTTTCTTTAACTCTACGCTTCGGCTCTGGAAAAACACATCTTCCTTCAAAGTGAATAACAATCCGGACTGATATTTTGGGTTCAACTCCGCTTTCTGCCTAATCCCCATATCACTTGTTCCCCAAGAGATCAAAAATCTTTCAGTCTCAGTCTTAAAAACGTTTAATGATGGAGCATTCCCAACCCCATGAGGTGGACACTTTCAAAAGTCAGAAGCTTTTGTGTGTAGCTATTCCTCCCCATCTCCTTATCCTGGGAGGGTACTGCAATGTCTTAGATACTCTGACCAGCAGAAGACCTAACAATATCAGGCCGACCAGAGACACGCACATTTCAGTCAGTACGCCTCTCATTCTTCTGCACTCCAGTGAATATCAACCCAATTTACTGAGCCTTCACTGGAGGAAACAGCAATCTATTTAAAATGGGCTGATCAAGGGTTCTAAACAACACTGTGACAATAGGACAATTGAGAGTGCAGTATGTCGTTTGTGTTTGGTTGCAGGATGTGGATGTCATTGGCCAGACATTTATTACTTATTTCTAATTACTCTGAAGGGCACTGTTGAACCATTGAAGTCTTTGGGATGTAGCTACACCCGCTTTGCTGTATGGAAGGGAATTCTGGGATTATGACCCAGCGACAGTGAAGGAACAGTGATATATTTCCAAGTCAGGATGTAGAGGGGCTTGGAGGGGAACTTGCAGGGGCTGGTGTTCCCATGTATCTGCTGGCCTTGACCTTCCTAGATAGAAGTGGTCTTGGGTTTGGAAGGTGCTGTCTGAGAATCTTTGGTGAATTTCTGCAGTGCCTCTTGTAAATAATACACACTGCTGCTACTGAGCGAAGGTGTTGAAGGGAATGGATGTTTGTGGATGTAGTGCCAATCAAACGGGTTACTTTGTCCTGGATGGTGTCAAGCTTCTTAAGTGTTGTTGGAGTTGCACTCATCCAGACAAATGGGAAGTATGCCATATATTTGGACTAACACACAGGGTTTGATAAATTTATTGATATCCTCAATCATTATCAGTTCTCCATTCAACTTAAAGCCCCTCCAAGCCACTCACAATCCTGTCTTGGAAATATTTCACCGTTCCTTCAGTGTTGTTGGGTCAAAATCCTGAAATTCCCTCTCTAACAATATTGTGGGTGAACCTGCAGCACATGGATTGCAGCGGTTCAAGAACGCAACTCACCATCTTCTCAAGGGCAATTGGGGATAGGCAATAAATGCTGGCCCACCCACTGATGCTCACATCTTACAGGTGAATAAAAAAAGCGCTACCTTGCCACTGTTCATCATCCTCTCCTGCACAGCTGCACTCCTCCGAGAATCCATAGTATCTAGAATGGAATACCTCAACAGTACATAGAATGGAACACTAATTAGCCAGCGGGATCTCTAGGGATTCCTGCACTACTTGACTATCTTTCTTGGACTGCCTGGCAGTCACCCATACCCTAAGTGCCTGCCTGCTCCTAACCTGTAGTGTAAACACCTTTCTGAATTTGCTAGACACATAGTCCTCTGCCTGGCCAATGCACAACAATGACTCCAGCCGATGCTGTAGCTTTGAAACCTGGAACTCAGGCTTGTGCAATCAGTGACATGGGCTACAAGAAGGACCACAGGATGGACACTCCATTTGGCTGAGCTGTCCTGCCATACTTTGACATAACATGTTTAAGTTACCTTAACTTTACATAGTTTTACCTAGTCTAACTTACTCTCACCTTAGTCCTGTACTATTAACTAACCTGGAGATTGAGAGGAAGTAGAACTTCTTCACCCTTCACACAAATCGGGTCCTTCTTTAAACCCTTAAAGTCATATAGAGCACTGTTTCAGCTGGTGTATTATGTCCAGTTCTGGGTGCCAAACTTTAGGAAGGAAGGGAAGACATGGGTGATGGCGCAAGTAAGATTCACATAAACAATTCCAGGGATGAAGAACTTCAGATCGATTGGAGATATTGGGGCAGTTCTCCCTAGAGAAGAAGAGACAGGGAGGAGTTTTGATTGAATTATTCAAAATCATGAGGGGCCTTAACATTGTAAATGGGAAAAACTGTTTCCATTGGAAGAAGGATAAAAATATAGGAGGCATAGTTAGTAAGTTTGCAAATGACACTAAAATTGGAGGTGTAGTGGAAAATGAAGAAAGTTATCTCAGTGTACAACGGGACCTTGAGCAGATGGGCCAATGGGCCGAGGAGTGTCAGATGGAGTTAATTTATATATATGTGAGATGCTGCATTTTGGAAAGGCAAATCAGGGCAGGACTTATACACTTAATGGTAAGATCCTGGTGGGTGTTGCTGAACAAAGAGACCTTGGAGTGCAGGTCCATATTTCCTGGAAAGTAGAGTCCCAAGTAGACACAATAGTGAAAAAGGATCAGCGCATTGAGTATATGACTTGGGAGGTTATATTACGGCTGTACAGGACATTGGTTAGGCCACATTTGGAATACTGTGTACGATTCCGATCTCCCTGCTATAGGAAAGATTTTGCTAAATTTGAAAGGGTTCAGAAAAGATTTACAAGGATGTTGCCAGAGTTGGAGGGTTTGAGCTATAGGGAGAGGCTGAATAGGCTGGGACTATTTTCCCTGGAGTGTCAGAGGCTGAGGGATGACCTTATAGAGGTTTATAAAATCATGAGGGGCATGGATAGGGCAGATAGCCAAGGTCTTTTCCCCAGGGTGGGGAGTCCAAAACTAGAGGGTTTCTTTCATTTGTCCTGATGAGGTTTCTTTCTCAGTAATACTCAAGGTGAGGGGGAAAGGATTTAAAAGGGACCTAAGGGGTAACATTTTCATGCAGAGGGTGGAACAAGCTGCCAGAGGAAGTGGTGGAGGCTGGTAAAATTACAACATTTAAAAGGCATCTGGATGGGTATATGAATGGGAAGCGTTTAGAGGGATATGGGCCAATTGCTGGCAAATGGGACTAGATTAATTTAGGGTATGTGGCCTTCATGGACACATTGGAACAAAGGGTCTGTTTCCATGCTGTACAGCTGTATGATTCTGTAAGGACAGAGATGGAGAGGGCTCAGATTTAAGGTGTTGACAAAACAAGCAATGATGTGAGGAGAAACTCTTTCACAAAGGCAGGGGTTAGGATCTGGAAAGTGCTGCTTCAGTGCATATTACAGGCAGGTCCAATCAAGGCTCCCATAAGCTGCTCAAACTATTATCTGAAAAGGAAGATTGTGAGGGGTTACAAGAAAAGGCAGCAGAACAACCATTAGGTAACTTGCTCCTGTACAGGGCCAGGACAGACTTGATGTTCTGTAACCAGTCTGTGATTCTGCAAGAACTGTAATGGCATAAGGACTAGGTGAAATAGATTTAAGAATTTGAACAACACATGCAGGGATGATGTGCCCCAGAATCAAAGCCAACCTGGCAAACAATCAGGCCAGGCATCAACAGAGGAGCAGGAAAGTTGACATTTTGGGTCGGGATCCTTCTTCAGAAATAAGGAGGGGGAAGGGAGCTGGGAAATAAATAGAGGGGGGAGGGGTGGAGCTGAGGAAAGTAGGTGGGATGGTGATAGGTGAGTGCAGGTAGGCAGTGGTGGGAACTGGTCAGTGAGGTGGGAGGGGCTGATAGGTGGGGGAGAAGATGGACAGGTTGTGTCAGGTCAAGGAGGTGGGGATGAGAGGGTGGCTTGGATGCGGGGTGAGGCCGGGGGTAGGGAAGTTTTAAAACTGGTGAATTCCATGTTTATGCCATCAGGCTGTAGGCTCCCAAGGCGGAATATGAGGTGCTGCTCCTCCAATTTGCAGGTGGCATCGTTGTGGCACTGGAGGAGGCCCAGGATGGACATGCCACCTAAAGAGTGGGAAGGGGAGTTAAAATGGGCCTCCTCCAGTGCCACAATGACACCACATGCAAACCATTTTAATCCCCCTCCCACTCCCTGGGTGACATGTCCATCCTGGGTCTCCTTCAGTGTCACAACAACGCCACCCAGAAACTGGAGGAGCAGCATGTCATATTCCACCTTGGGAGCCTACAGCCCGATGGCCTAAACATGGAATTCACCAGTTTTAAAATCTAACCCCCACCACCGGCCTCGTCCCATATCCAACCCTCCCTCTCATCCCTGCCTCCTTGACCTGACACAACCTTCATAGAACTTCATAGAATCCCTACAGTGTCTCTTCTCTCCCACCTTTCCACCCCAGCCACCCCACTGACTGATTCCCACCATTCCCTACCTGCACTTACCTATCACCATCTCTCCTTTTTTCCTCAGCCCCACCGTCCTCCCTCTATTTATTTCCCAGCTCCCTTCCCCCTCCCTATTTCTGAAGAAGGGTCCCGACCCGAAACGTCAACTTTCCTGCTCTCTGATGCTGCCTGGCCTAATGTGTTCCTCCAGCTCCACAATGTGTGGTCTCTGGCTCCAGCATCGGCAATTCTTGCTATCTCCCTTTGGCAAACAATTAGCACTGTTTTTTCCTATAGTTGAAATTGGTTGTATTTTGGCATTCTTGCATTCGTCCTGATGAGGCTTCTTTCTCAGCAATACTCAATCGATTGATACAACAACTAGGCTACTATTTAATCCAATTCCATTTTTTTCCCAATGTATGAAATTCAGTGTTTGGCATAACACCATAACATCAGTTTATCTTAGACCATGCCAAGTAATGAAATAGGCAAAAAAAGTTTGGATTCATTGTCATAGGGTCTCTAGATGTTAGTGTAAGTGTAATTTTACATGTCTGCACCCTTAGTGTCCAGACAGAAATGTCATGAACACTTCAGAAGCATTAGCCTGTCCATGATGCTAGTTTCTGGCCAGCTACCTATGAAATTATTGTGTTATAATTGTTGAAGATAATTGGCTTTGATTGGTCAAGCTCAGAGACAAATGTCCTGCACATCAACAATATTAAGACGCACATAGGTTTTGTACATCAAGTCAATCAGACAGGCTGTGAGCATTTTACAAAGCTGCTGTTGCAGATTGCAGGGCAAATCTCTACAAGCCAAATGTCAATGTTGTGATTTTTCTACCTCCTTCTGCTTACCTTCTACACCACAGGTTTTGCCATGAGGGCTCCTCCGGATCTAGAAGTATGATATTTTATCAGAAAATAAAATGGCCATGAATATCTTGAAAGGACAGCAAGTTCCTAAAAATAATTGGCTTTTTGTATAGAAAACCATAATATGTCAGGCATCTTCTGTGACATGGTGTTGATGAGAACTAAAATGGATAGAATCATAGCATCTCTACGGTGTCGAAAAGCAAGGCCATTTGGCCCATAGTGTCCACACTGACCCTCTGACGAATATCCCACTCAGACTGACCACCTCCCCCCATCTTATCTCTGTAACCCTGCATTTCCCATGGCTAATCCATTTAGTATGGCCAATCCACCTAACTTGCACAGTGGGAAGAAACCAGAAGAAACTCACACAGACACAGGGAGAATGTGCAATCTCCACACAGAGCATTACCTGAGGGTGGAATCAAACTCAGGTCCCTGGTGCTGAGGCAACAGTGCTAACCACTGAGCCACCTTTCTTCCTTCTCCCTTAAGTGAATTTTGACTGAATGTAGTGCCTCTTTACACAAGGCACACAATCTCGTATCAGATAACACTGATCAGCTTATGACTATCAGCTTATGGTCATGCCTGAGGCCTTCCAACATTACCCAGTATTGAAAGCCCAGTCAGTCCAAAGATGTGCAAGTTAGGTGGATTGGCCATGCTAAATTACCCACAATGTTCAGGGGTGTGCAGGCTACGTGGGTTAGCCATGGTAAAAGCAGGGTTACAGGGATAGGGTGGGGGATGGGTCTGGGTGGGATGCTCTTTGGAGGGTCAGTGTGGATGCATTGGGCCGAATAGCCTGTTTCCACACTGTGAGCATTCTAATGATTCTACGATTAGTCAGTGTGACAGCAGATCAAATCATTTGTCAAGTTAAGTACTGGCATATGTAGCCAAAACTGACCTGTAGACGTTACTGTTGATGCCCATCCAGTTCACTAATGTTCTTTAGAGACATTTACTCACACAAATCCACGTGAGCCTTCATACTACCCCAGCCCAACACTAAATGGATGACTTTAATAGCCTCGGGATAACTAAAGTTGAAAAGTAACCACAACTTTAGTGGTGCCAGCCTTTGCCAAGAACATTTAAAAGTAGGTACATTTATTGCTCTGTACAGAGTTTCCACTTGTTAAATTTTGTATCATACATAAATGCACATATGTGTAGACAGTTCGCGGAGGAGTTATAAATGATTATCTTCAGCTAAAGAAGGCACTTTCTGTAAGAGTATTTAATCCATTTCCAGATTAATGGGACAGACGATGGAGAATATTTATTCAATACTGGCAAAGATGACTATATGAAATTCACTGAAGTAATGATGTGGAATGGACAGGAGTAAGTAACTTCACCTTGCTGCAATTGTTAGAACTATAATCATATCTTAACTCTGTACGAATAAAGCACGTGTGAATTTGTCTTGGTGAATTAAGTTTCTGAAGGACTAACTATGGAGTCATACTGCTTTTTTGTCTTTAGGTATCGTCCTGCTATTGGCACAATGCAAATGAGAACACCTTCTTGTAGCCTTGTGGTTATTCTGTTTGATTTCAGGGTCTGGGTGCCTTGCCGTTGATTGCTCATCCCTAATTGTCCCAGAGAGGGCGGCAGTGAGCTGTCTTTGTGAACTACTTTGGAACATCCCACAGTGTTTGCGAAGTACTTTCTGTGAGGTCTCTCTGCTGTCACTATAGTGATGATGGCAGCTAGCTTGAGCACAGCAAGATCCCATAAAGAGTATTGAAGCAAATTGGCAGGTGATCCAATATAAAACTGGGATACGACAGCATGTGGAAATTTAAAATAAAAACAAATCTGAAAGAGAGAGGGAGGGCAGGAATTGAGTGGTCTCTACTGAGGTCAGCTCATAGAATCCTTACAGTTGGAAGCAAGCCATTCAGCCCATTAAGTCCACACTGACCCTTCAAAGAGCATCACGGTCAGACCGACCGCTGCAAACCTGCATTGCCCATGGCTAACCCACCTAACCTGCACATCTTTGGACTGTGAGAGGAAACTGGAGTATCTGGAGGAAACCCATGCAGACACAGAAAGTCATCTGAGGCTAGAATCAAACCCAGGACCCTGACGCTGTTAGGCAGCAGTGCTAACCACTGAGCCACCGTGCTGCCCCTTTTGAAGGCAAAGCGTCCAGTATTTAATCGGGCCGGAGGATGAGGGGTGGACTCCCCACTATTTTGTCAGCAAGATTTGGATTAAAACCTAATTAAGGGCCTTACCCTGACTGAACTGGTATTTAACCAGGGGTGAATGATGCAGTTGCCACATGGGGAATCTGGAGATCAAACTCTGTTGCGTTTTCCTGGGGGATTCACATTTAGTTAGGCAACCGCTTGGTCGAGGCATCCAGGAAGGGGGTAGGAGGGGAGACACTCAGAGGTGGTCTGGAAGCTAGGCTACAGTCAGCTGGGGCTTTTCCTGTCCAGTCAGTCCAGGGGCTGAGTCATGGTCAGTGGTCAGGGTTTGGTCAAAAATGTTCGGGGGCTTCACAGTGCAAAGTCATGGAGTGCTGGGGAAAACTGAGAACGCCAAGTCTGGGAATGGGCCTCATTATCCTGGGCTGTTGGAGGCACAGTGACAGGGATAGAGGGCAATTGGAAATGTTAGGTTGTGACCTCATAGTGAAGAAGAGAGGACTGGGAACTCTGGAAAGGGAGGCTTCAAACAGGTAACTCTGACCTCCACATGGGGAGAATGCAAGACCAACAAGGAGATGGGAATTTCCAAAGCAACGTGCTCTGGGAGTAAAGGGAGGGCCATTGACAGTGACATAAGAGGATTCAATGGAAATGGAGCGAGGCTGAAAGGTCATTGGGGGGCACTTGGACACAAAAGGGAATGTGAGGGTGGGGGAATATTCATGAGTTACAGATAGAGCCTGCAAGCCACTCACATTGAAGCACATAGCATCAAAAGTTAGCTGTGCAGTAACTGTGTAAAATGGCTGATACCATGTAGAAAAGTGCATTCGTTACCGTCCTTTTCATAAGAGGCACAGGAAACTGTTTGGAATTTGAGGCCCTACTAGGGGCATTTGCTATAATTGTGCCTCCACTGATTTAGTAATCCTGGCTTCAATTTCCATTTCAATCATTATGAAGGATCATTATCCAAGGATGTACATTAAGAATTAAGACATTAAGCAATCATAAGCATTACAATTTGGGCACTAATTGCCTCCTTGCTCTCTCAGCCAAGCAAATGTAATCAGGCAATCTCTCAGAGCACATGTAGGTTGCCCTGAAATGTTTGAGAATCCAGCGTTGACTGTGCAAGAGGCAGCGTTTCTCTGCACACTGTGATGTGTGAGCTGGTGTGCTCCTTTGAAAAGCTGATACATAGAATCGCTCACAAGGTGGGTGTAAATGTAGAATAATGTTGGGTAGGCCAGACCCTAGCTGCTCGTAGCCTCAGTTTTGTCCACATTGTACAAGCAACACCTTGGTTACAGCTCTGAACGTGCTGCTTCAGTGATCCCTGATGTCTGAGGTCAAGGAAGTGGCTGTTTGTGAGAGATGAGCTTGACCACGTTGACCTTTTTCTTCCTTGAGACATCTGAAGAGGGAGCTCATCCCTCACACGATTGAAAGTTGATGTGGAGGTGCCACTGTTGGACTGGGGTGGGCAAGGCCAGAAATCACACAACACCAGGCTATAGACCAGCAGGTTAATTTGCTTGTGGTTTCAAATAAACCTGCTGGACTATAACCTGGTGTCGTGTGATTTCTGACAATTGAGACTTCACCAAGTCCAACACTGCAGCACACATTTCAACAATGAGCATGCATTTACAAAAGTAAAATGTTATTTACAATGATTTTTCACCCGTATGGACCCTCGATAAGTTATTTTCTTCCTTTGCCCTCCCACTATGCCAAAGTGCAGCTGGGCTGGAGGAAGCCCACTCTCCGAGTGGTCCTGATGGTCTGGAACTTGGGTGGTCACCCCCTGGTGCCCGCTGCCAGTCTCCTGCCCCGAACAGGCTCACCATCCTCTGCTTGAGTTTCCACAGGCTGTGGGATTATGGCAGGCTGGAGGGAGGGAGAGTATGGAGTGTCCTGAGAGGAACTTGCTGGGCCTCCTGTGTGCAGCCTCTCACTCTCTCTCTCAGCCTCCCTAGGTACGTGGGTCCCTGGTTCCCATCTCGCTTTAGCCTCGATTCTGAGCAGCAACAGCCACAGCAATGGAGTGCAGCGAATTTCTTCAGGAGCATATTTATTTTTCTCTTGTCGCCACTGAAACAGCTCCACAGAGGCTTGTACATTAAGCGGGTGGGCTGCTGCCAGCTTCCATCTACCTCCTGACTGTCTCTGACAAACTGCGTTTTGATGATGTTACTAAATGGCCGAACCCACAGGGTCCTCTCCTGCTGGAGGAGACCCTGAGCAGGCTCCTGCTTCTCTGACAGCCCTCCAAGTGCCAGCAGGTGGAGCGGGAGTTGGGGGGTGGGTGGCAGGTTGGTGGGTGGGGGATGCAGGTGAGTTGGCTATTTCTTCCTCTTCCAGCTATAGAGATGTGACAGTGGTTGTTTGTTAGAGGCTCGCGAAGGGGTTAAGAATGTGTTTGCCCTGGTATTAACGTGAGAACTGCACAGCAAAATGAGGCGGGCTGGCTTAGTTGGTCACTGTAAGGACTCACCATTCCCTTCATGAGTGGTCTCCCTCTCTTCTAGCCGGTTTGAGACCCTTTGCTTGAAAGGAGGGCAGTACTGTCTCGGCCTGATTACGTGTCAAGTTTTCCTGCAGGGAGAAGACCGTACAGTGGCAGCAGTGAAGTATGGATGGCCCTGTGAACGTGTAGTAGCACAGGGAAGATTGTGGCACTTATCCTTGGGCAGTGCAGAGGATCATTGACTTTCCCCTGTGTCATGATGGGAACGAGGTCAGTGAGCTGGACCTCATAGAATATGAGTTCCCTGATTGGGGCTGTTAATCTGATCCAATCAGGGAGCCCTGTCTGACAGATAAGAACGGAGTGTCAGACATCCTGTTCACTCTGAGAGCTGGCTTTGATGGAGCTGGATCAGTGTCAAGTACTATACACATGCACATAAAGGGTGGCTTGATGACAGGATACCAGCCTCTATGGAGTTATTTTATCCTGCACTGCCGGGCTTGTATCTACTGGAGTTTGGAAGAGTAAAAGGCAATTTGGTCAAAACATATGAGACATTGAGGGGTGGACATGTTTCATCCTGTGGGAGGATCTAGAACCTTGTATCACTGTTTAAAAATAAGGGAGCAACCGTTTGACATTGAGTTAAGGAAAAGGATCGTCTTAGGATCTTTGGAACTCTCTTCTTGAAAAGGTGGTGAACGTAGAGTCTTTTAATTTTTCTGTGGCAGATGTGAGATAGATTCGTGGTAAACAAAGAGTTGAAATGTTATCAGGGTTATGTGGGAATGTCGGAGTGTTGAATGGCAAAACATACTTAAGGGACCAAGAGGCCTACTCCTGCTCCTAATTCATACCTTTGTATAAAGGAGTCCAAAATCAGTACAGACGGAGCCAGTGTAGTTAAGGAGAAACAGTTCCCATGGCAGAAACATTGGGAACCAGTCAACACTAGTAAAAGATGATCGGCAGAAAGACCAAAGGTGAGATGAGAAAACATTTTATTTCTTTTTTCTAAGAGTGTGTAGTTAGGATCTAGAATGTGTTGCCTGACAGTGTGGTGATGGCAGGGTCACCTGTGGATTCCACAGGGAAGATGTTCTTATAGAGAGCAAGTGCAGGCACAATGGGCCAAATGGCCTCCTTCTGTACTGTAACATTCC